TGATCCAGCGCTTGGTACATGTATACACACGTCATGATCGGATCATTTCATTTAGTGTCCATGTAAACGGAGATTTTGAATTTCCGATCAACCAAGGTTTGGATCGGATCGGGGAAATTTTGCGCATGTAAACGTAGCTTATGATAATCAAGTCAATGATTCGATGCAATCAACTGTTTTTTTCTTAGATAAAAAACTTTGAATCAATTTGAGTGCCTTGAGATGATGTGTTGTGAATTGGCGCTATATAAATAAACTGAATTGAATTTATGTATAACTCAATATATTATTTATCAGACTGCATTACCCTCCAGATGGGCTGAACATTTTGATTCATATTTTAATTATTTTGAATAGGCCAACCTTAGTTAATGAGTGGATGGCAAAGATTGGCCTGGTTTGGTTGCTTATTGTAGTCATCCATATCCCAAAACTGCTTAAATTTCAGTCCTCAGGGCAGCTTGTGTTGAATTTTCTTATGGGAGCTTTCAGAAGCATCGTACCATTTGTTTCTGTATGTTCCTGCTAATACTAGAAACATTTGCAGTTCCACTTTCTTAGATTCCACAGGGACACCGGCAGAACAGCTAAGCAAAAGACTTTTCTATCGAAAGTTTTACACAATAATGTGTTGAGAAAATATTTCCTTTCATTTTCATTATTTTATAGAGTGGTGAAAGTTGGACTGTAGTCGAGCAAGTCTGTGTTTAATGGCATGAAAAGCAGCCCATTAGCAAAAGATGGAGAGAAGACACAAAAGCTGTAATCAGGGGTTTGGATTATTAAATGCCTACAAGATATATTGTCCTCTGACAAAGTTTTTAAACCTCTTGAACTTGTTCTATCCTTAGTAACATTACAACAACTATTTTCAACTTATCCTACAGTAATTTAAACAGTGTTTAGCTTAACTGCTAAACCTTGAGTACTGTGGAAATATTACACCACATATCTCTCTGAATACCCCATTCCCCTGGCAAAACATAGTGGTGGTACTTATAGAGAACAAGAACAACAAAAAAATCTTTACAATTACTCATAAAACCCCACTGTAACTGGAAAAAGTCACTTCTTTAAAATATTGACTTTGGGGAGCTGAAAACTATGAATACTTGGACTTTCACTTCAAAATTATGCAAACTGTGTCTTGGTGTATTATATAAAAATGCAGTAAAACACAAGCTCAGCAAGGGGGTTTGTGGTTTTAAGGTGACAAAATGTGAAATGTACTTTTTGCAAGGCTCTGCACAGTAAGTATGTGCCTACTTATGCATGATTTCCCACTCATAATCCTGCATATTTGACACACCATCTGTCTTTTTTATCATTTATCATCTGGCTGAATAGTATAGCAGGGATGTGACTAATTGCCTTTAGCAGAAGTCCACGGAAAACCAGATTTACTTAACCTCTGCTATTTAGTGTCACATTTAGAGCTTGCAGTGTAATTCACAAGCAACCCCCCCCCCCCCCCCCCCCCCCCCCCCACACACCCACCCACCCAACCATCACACACACACACACACACACACACACTCACACACACACACATACACTGAGCCATCTTATTCCGCTGGTGTCCATCTCCTCTACTGTCAGCTGAATGGATCACACTGCAAGTCTTCCATCTCCTTCGATGATTTTGTGAAAAAGGAGAGTCGACTGGAGCCTGTCAGTGCCATGAGAGCAGAGGACATCAATGCCTCACTTAGACAGCTATTCTAAGGGGGCCGCTTCCCCAGACAAGAGGACAAGACAGAGTTCACCTGGATTCAATACAAGGTTTCTGCCTCTGCCTTTGAGAGAAAAGATGCAATGCCGAACAGCAGACTGAACTACCCAATGTTAAATGTCATCTGGATAAAAATCAATTACATGATTTATTGCAGAGTCTAAAACTTACAAATGGTCAAAAGCTGTCTGTTCCTTTGAACTGCACTGTCATCCTTCTCCACCTTATGATGTAGAGCAGAAAGTAATGGGTTAGGCGATTTTAAAAAGGCACAAAACATTATAGCTGCTGATAGCAATTCCCAAGTTTTGCAGATTGATTTCTTTTCCTCATGTGGCATTGTTGCTTCTCATTTCCAACACAGCGTGAAAGGCACAGAAATAAAAACATCTTAGCGGCAAATCGGCCTCACCATGGCAACAGTATTGATCAACCCTCCTGGGTCCTCAGAAAAATCTATCCCTCATGTCAATTTCCCAGCATTAACAGTTCAGCAGCCACTCATGTCTTGAATAGATGGGGTATGATATTTGGAATCTGGCAATAAAATCCGCAATCACTATTTAGCTCCCCTCATGATTCATTTATCGCAGGGGTGAGACACCAAATGACCTATTGATATTCAGGGAGAACAATGATGTACGTAGGCTAAGAGGGCAACTTCAGAGGTTAGTACTTTAAGATTTCAGAAGTACAGATTAAGTTTTCTAATCTAGATTATGGTGCTTTGAAACATTTCCCCTTTGAAGGTGCTTTCTCAAAAAGGTAATGATTATTAGGTAGTATTATGGTAATAGCTAAAAAATTTAAGGTAAAGAAGACATCTTGCTGTTGAAAAAAAAAAAGAAAAATGCTGAATTCCCAAAAGACAATCAAGGCGAAATGAGATGAAAATTCAGGTCTGCATTCACTACAAACCATGTAAAGGCATTCATAGTCCTTAATGTGTTTTACAATTTTCATGCCATGACCACAACCCTAAAGGCATTCATTGTTCAATCCATCATCCAAAGATAGATGGAATAAGGCAGAACTGCAAAGCAGACAGATATGGACACCTAAACTGATCATATAAGGAAAAATATACAGTAAGAAGTGTAATTTACAGTTTAATATCAGGCATGTAGGGTGTATGTATGTTGAAGAACGTGTTGCTATTAAATTAAATCAAGATTAAAATGCCTGGCCCACATCTGAAAGACTGCATGTGGAAAAAGACTGCAGTACACGTTTCCCTTAACACACTACCTCCACTTTCAAATTCAGTAGAGGAAGTACAGTACATTGCTGCACATATCCTCTTATTCAACATGGAAATGGAAGCTTTTCAGAGATATAGGTGGAGGAATGTAGCTCAGTACAGGGAAAATTCTACAGGGAAACCCGTTAGAGGCAGCAAAAGACTTGAGATCAAGATGGAGATTCATGATTCAAAGGGACAACAACCCTAAACATAAAGCCAAATCTACAGATAATCAGATTAGATTATGCATATATGTATTTCTTTAAATGGCCCAGTCAAAGTACAGTTTAGTTGCAGTGCCTCAAAGTGTAAGAAGATTTGAGGCTATGTCTGTCTTTGGCAAGGCCCCGCATGGTATCAAAGGCTTTCCCTAAATATCTAATTTATATCAGCTCTAGCTAATATATTTAATTATCAAACAGGATTGTGTTTAGGTGGAAATATTTACAGAGGAGGATTTGATTTGTCTTCATTCAGATGTGTCGATTTCCACCTAGCGATTAAATCCTGCACTCTTGCAGGGCGTTGGGGAAACAATAGGAGATGTAAAGTGATGGATGAAGCTGCATGAAAAATGCTGTCATTCCAAAGATTCCTCAAGCTTTATTGCGACAGTCAAGCTTCAGCCCCTCATTGCACATGAACTACACCTACACTCTGACAGCTTGACACTTACAGACGTGAAAGTCTGACTGGTGGGAGGAGAGACTGAAGGGAATCAGGAATAATCTTTAGAAGATCTTGTATATAGTTTATAAAGATACGATTTCTACAGAAATCTTAAACAACGACATTGATAAGAAACATAATAAATCTACTCAGGTTTTTGAGCATGACTGGAGGGTTTTAACCAAACTGGTATAATGAAGATGTATTATGCTAACTCAGTCTAGAACAACTGAACATAAGGCAAGGCTAAAAGCTGTGATGGAGCCCATCTGTCCAGTCAATGAAGCCTCAAAACCCACAAAATATCCAATAAATAAATAAATTATGGTATTATGTGTGTTGAGCTCACTTTATTCACGTGTGCAAAGGGAAAAAAAAAGATGACAGAGCTAAAAGCTTGTTAAGTATGCTGATGGTCTTACAGCTGCAGTTTAACTGATACTTACTGTCAGACCAATCCTCTGTCTAATTGAATTGAAACTATACACTGCACGACATGTCTGTGTGTTGCAGTCTGCAACCACAAATCATTAGCAGAAAAACTCCAGCTCTGCTGTCGCCGTGCAAACATGAAACGTGGAATACAATTATGTACACTTGCTAGAGTTGCTATGCAGAATTTAAAATTATTTGTTATTTTTTCCATGTTGCTGTGTTTTAAATATTTAATTTGGTGTATGGGTGCCCTGCTGCTGATGCTTCCTGTTTTCATGCAGCACCAGCAGCTAAGCAGGATAAGAGAATGTGGCCACCAGCACGATCTAAAAAAATAAAATAAAAAAATAGTTGTAAGGATAAAAGCAAGCCAACCTAAAAATAAATCTCAGTTTTAAGGCTCTAAAATAATACATATTCTTACATATCTATGGTCTTCCACTCGTATAATCATGTGCAATCACATGAAATAGGCCTGTTATTCTCAGGAGAGTAGTATTGAGTTTGGGTGTGATTGTGTCAGGCTGTCAAAGCCCACTCATCCAAACTCTGGAGTGAGACTGGAACAGACGGGAGCTGTTCTTTCAGCACCACCGGGGATCTGCAACAGAACACTCAGCTGTCGCATCCACACAATGTAGTGATCTGGAAAGCGACCCAAACTCACACCAGCTGCCCTTCTAAAGCCCAGAATTTATGAAGTAGATAGAATTTATCTACAAACTAAAGCAGGAAAAGTAAAGAAGACACACTTTTTAATTGTTCTTCTCGGGAAAGAGTAGGCGCGCCGCTTCCTCTGTTCCCCTGTAGCGCATAAATACCAGGGGACTGTTCAAAGTATTTGGATATAAAAAAAATGAAAAACATAAAAGTCACATACTCATGAAAAAATAAAACAAAAAAGCATGCTCAGAGACTTGCCTGAAAGAGGCGTAGGATGTTGGCAACCATAATCGACACAGAGCTCGCCGAGGCTCCGATCACTCCCACCACTTTCTCAGGCTTGACAAACACCGGTGGCTCACCGTTCGTGCACCTCACGTCTGAGGTGTCCTTCGTGATAAGGGCTTGCACAAAAGTTAAGGACTGCTCCAGAGCGTACGTATCCCTCGAGCAAGTGTCCAGCACTCTTGCGCCTAGAGTGATGTTGGGCAAGAGTTGCTCGTCCTGGTTGATTTGGTCCAAAGCGTACATCATGGCTTCCAGGCGCTGGATCCCGTTCTCCTTTTTCAGGTCCCCACACGGCGCGCCGTCGGGGCCCCTCGAGTGCACCGGGAATAGCCCGCCGAGGGTCAAGTGCCCCTGTGTCCTTATCGAGTGTGGCGCGTAGGTCTCCTGAAGAAACGCAAAATCCACCGCGGCGCTCAGGAGCCAAAATAGCCTCCATACACAGACACCAGAACGCGCCATGCTAAACTTTTGTAGGAAGGATGGAGACGGATGTGGAATTTTGAAGTTTGTTAGAAAATCTCCATTTTTAGTCACCAAGGTGGAGATTCAACAAGCTGGGCCGAAGAAAAGAGAAGTGGAAGGCTCAGGCAAACTGCGACCATCGCTGAGCAGCCAGGAGGAGCAAGCAGCGCAGCTTGTTGAATAGTGAAGCCCCTTACAGTAATTCAGTTCCCCCCATCCATTAGACGGAAAGCATCAGTGATCACTCTCCAAATATTAGCTGACTGTTTGAAAAGAAAGGCACCCTTTGCAAATAAAATCTGAAACACCTTTAGGACCGAAATTCAAGCCAATGTATCGGGGAAAGGGGCAGGGATTATCTCAAAAGCAGCGCCTAAAATGAAAATTGTGAACCGGCAGAAGTGGGTGACATTCTTCCTGCCCACAACAACTCCACAGAAGCGCAGATATGCTCGTTTCGGCAGTGGTGTCTGTCTCCCATGGGTGCATAATCATCCCCAAAGCCTCCAGAGAAAGAAAGAGAAAGAGAGCACGAGAGAGAGAGACACAGTTAGATAAAAAAAGAAAGATTAATACCCGCGCAAATGAGCGATCACTGAGCAGAAGGCTGAGAAAACCCAGCTAATTAAATCCGAGCCCCTTTTTTTTCTGTCTCTGCAACCGGTCGCATTTGAGGGCGAAATGAATGAGAGATTTCAGTGTGCGCGCCGAGTTTTCAGCTCCCCCTCTTTTTTTCTCTCCATGAGAGACGTCACTCAGTTGGCAGTGGGGTGGGAAGGGGGGTTGGCACCACTACATAGCAAGGTTTCCTGGAAGTTGTCTACAGACTCTTAAGAAGGGGATAGTAACAAAAAAGGGATCACATACACATAAATAATGCGAAAAATTGTGAGTTGCTCTCACTGTTTCTCCCCGTAGGCTACTTCCCATTAAAACACCCACAGAAACACACAATGGAAAAACAAACCTGGTAATGTATTTTCTTTTTATACTGATAATAGCAGAAGTATAGTGGAGACTGTTTGCATTTTGAAAACGGCAAAGAAGTGCTTTTATGAGTTGCTTCACTCCACCTGAGCAAAGTGCCTTTCCTTAATAGTTCCAAATTAATCACTGATGCACCTTTAAAAAAAAAAATAGAAGAAAAAAAAAGGGGGGGTGGACCCCACGCTGGTCTCCCAGGCAACCCTTCTCTGAAGACTCCCCTGTGCTACCCAAACCCACAACACACACATACAGTGGATATTAAAAGTCTGTAAGCCCCTGTGAAAACGTCAGGCTTTGTGAGAATGAGACAGGTGAAAATAGTCTTCACAATATATGGGGGGAAAAAAAAGCTTTGGTACTATTGAACTTTAAAAAAGATAATTAAAAAAGAGTGCAGACTAATATTTTTTCAAAATTCTGTAGTAGTCTTCAGAAGGAGTATTTTAGCATCCTACATCTTAAAAATATAGAGTATAGGAGATGAAAGTGGTGACGGTTTTCAGATCTATCAGTTTCAGAAAACATGCCTTGTACACAAAACTCTTCAGGTAACCCCCTACACATTGTGTTTTTACGCTTTTCAGCTTTGGTTAACCCATTTCAAAGGTCCTCTTTTTTCTGATTAGGTCATTCATTTATTCATGTGAATCCATGCTAAGAACATTAAAATTCATCTTTGACTTATTTATGGATATGTGTTGCTTTTGTGCCAAACTTATCTTTTTGAATTTGGCCAAATTTGATATCATCAGTATAACACATTATTCTGCATGGTTTGGGGTAATATTAGGGTGTGAATTTTTGCTGCAAGAAAGTACTTATTTCAGTCTTCCATACCCTTGCCCAAACATATGAAGAACACCTTAAATCTCTCTACAAAACAACTAGTACTAACCCAAGGCCTGTTTCACCAAGTGGGCTTACGTTTACTGAAAACGTTAAGTTTTTTAAACCTGAAATCAGGGAAACTAAGTTTTGTGTTTACCAAAGAGAGTTTTCTCAACCCTTGTTTCTGTTACCCTAGTAATCCTTAAAGCCAATCACAGTGGGCGTTTCTCAATATGCGTTCTTGAGCGTTCTCGTGTGCTGGTGTACTCGTGACACGTCATCAGCCTCAGCCCGAGTACCGTTCCAATTCTCAAGAACGCCAGATCGAGAACGCATCAAATCCCCGGATGTTGTTCTCACCCCGCCCTCTTTATCGAGCATGCATCAGAGCAGACTTGTGCGTTCTTCAGACTGACAGCTTCCCCAGAATGCCCCGCGGCCGCAGCTTGATTCGAGACAGCGCTCACAGTGTTAAGTTAAACATTCCCTTTTCTGCTGCTGTTGTTCTTCAAAAGTACGTTTTGAAATCGTTTGAGGCGATAACATTATACATTTAAGCCTCCCTGTGTGGTCTGTTTACAGAGTTAGTGCGAAATTTAAAAAAAAAGTGCGACGTTGAGCGGACCAGAGTGACCAGCAGACCTCCGAGGGTAACCGCAGCCAGGGCTGATGTTACCCCGTCTGTAGTGCACTTCTCTTGGTCTAGTTATGTGTGAACTACCGCTCGTTCTGATGGCGGTTTTTTGCGGTTCAGTAATTTTTTTTAAATGTTTTTTAAGCTTTAGAAATTAAAAATATTGTTTTCAAAATGTTTTGTGTAGGGAATAAATAGTTTTGACTGTTAAAGAAATGCTAAACAACGTTGCCTGTGATGACGTCACGAGTACGCTTCTGCTCCAATACACATACGTGCTCGCGTTCTCGTCAAGTCCGATCTTCCTGCGTTCTCGCCAAGAACGGACTTGACGAGAACGCGAGTACGTACTCGCGTTCTCGTGAATTGAGAAACGCCCACTGTTTTGCTTCCTGATCTAATCAGAAGATTTTTGTTGTAGTTTTTGTTGTAAAACGAAAATCAGCCAGTAGGTTCGTCATAGATATTAGGTCTTAAAAACACAATACCATGTCCTTTAGATGAGGATCCAATTAAAGAATGTAAACAATCTATAGCAGGCTGTTTTGATATTTATTAGTTTGTTTGACTATGGATTCCTGATATCTGAAATTATATTTTTCTACGTCGAAATGAAAAAAAAATATGACATTCTTAATATCTCAAATAAACATTCTGGATGAACAGAAGTTGAATTTCAGATCGCCACATTCCTATTGTCACTGACAATAATTTGCAGTATTTTGATCATAAAGAATTATAGATCAGATATCAAAGATTGCCTACATATTTGTTCACGGTGATAAATGCCACAACAGCCACTTAAAATGTGCAAACATTTCTAGGTATATAAAACGTAATTCTTACTATTATTATTCAGTTCTTTTACTTCCTAAAATTCAGTTTTCTGCTGCAAAAATCTAATTCAGAAAATTTGTTATTACAGTTCTGAATAGGAATATGTTTTTGATCAGGAAGTATCATTTTTTTATAAACTACAAATGGAACAACAAAGGGAAGAGTGCTTTTAAAAAATGTTAAACGGACCTGCCATGTAAGACATCATTTAAAGTTCTGCATTAAAAAAACATTTTTTTCCCAAAATTTTTTTTTTCATTTCTGAATTAAAATCTCCGGTTCCAGTGGTGTGAGATAGGTACTTTTGCTGTCTCTTGTCATGGTGATTCACCAAATCGGTGCTCCACTAATAATGGCTTTTCATACTTGTTACCAACATGCTCAACTCTGAGTGGACCTACTTAGAGCTGATTAAACTAGCTTACAGCATTATCTGTTAAACAGAAAATTCAGAGTTTTATAACCTTAGGCTAGATCAATTCAGAGTTGAGGATTTAGGTCTGAGTTTGTACAACCTGCTTTGTGAAATGGGCCTCAGTACTCTCTCTGAACCTCGGATCCTCTACCTGACACCTGAGAGCTTCTGATGTTTCTGCAGGTATCAGTTGGAGCCATCTCTCCAGTGTTGGGGTTACTGTCCTGAATGCTCTAATGACCACTGGCACTACAGGTGCCTTTACCCATGACGGCCTTTCTGGTCCTTAACTGAGCCCTTGATATTATAGGTTTTTTTTGTGTCTGTGTATTTGTTTGTTTATTTTATATCATTCGGGATGGCTAGATTAAAGACGGCTGTCCTCTGCCTCAGTGATTGGAATGTCTTGTTGGTTTGCCATTACTATTTTGTCTGTTTGTATCTGGAAGTCAAATAGGATCTTAGCTTTGTCAGTCTCCTCCACCTTAGGAGGTGTTTCCAACTTTGACCTGGGGGTCTTAGGTTTGTATTCTAGACAGATGTTTCTGTACACTATACCAGACACTCGGTTATGGCATTCCATATGTTCCTTTCTTGCTAGTATCTTATACCTGTATCGAGCACCTGTGAAATGCTGGAGTGTTTCTGGGGCCCATTTGCATAGTCTTCAATTTGGATCTTGCCTGGTATGTAGAACTAGGCCTCTATCTGTCTGGTGCTCAAGACCTGCTAACTTAACCATGGCTCTGATGCTCACTAGGCACTTAGCACTTCTTTGTGCTGAGTGTATAGTAAGTGGACACCTGATTTGGGTATCCACCATGCATTGTCTATAGTTTTAATGTTTTAACAACAGTGGTCTGAATTTACTCCCTTTACCAACTTAATATCCCAGCAGAATATCTGATTATTGCCAAGGTATAGACGCTAAATGTCCAGATCTTGTTCTTGTCAGAACTTGCCTTATCGTTGCAGGTATTGGGTTTTTGTCCCTCTCTAGTGACCTGTTCGTTACTGCCATTTGAATTTAGCTCATTTAGTCTCTAAAAGGTTGACAAAGCATAAAGCAAGATTTCTTTTGCAGGAGATCCACAAGTATAAAAAAAGGTTTTTTAATTGTGCAATTGAATTCATAAATGTTCATCACAAAATGCATACATTTTTACCTCAACATTCATAAATTTGTAAAATTTCTCAAACTGTTAAACTGAAAAAGTAACAATACACTTAGCATACAAACCGGCAAATGTGCAATTTTATGGATGGATCAGTCAACACTATAAGGTAAGGATCAGCTTTCTTGTGCTTATTACTTTTGAGACTTTCTTTCCACTAGGTGATTCATAAATAAGATGATTTGTTCAAAGCTGGGGAAGAGCCTTAGAATTGGATATCTTCTCATTCCCTCCTCATCCCTTAATTAACTGCAAATACATTTTGTTTAGTTTTTTTATTTGGCCCAGAAGCCCTATAAACACTATATTAAAAATTATGCTCCCTGCCTTTGGGAGTATACTTTAGTTGGTTCAGTGGAGAACAGTCTGTTTGTTCGTCTGGCTTCTGTATCCTTTGTGTACCTCTTCAGTTTGGCAGCCAAGGCCCAGTGTCTTCTTTTGGCACTTTCCAGGGCCTCAGGTATGAGCATCTGTTTGTATTTCCGGGGTATTCCCTTTCTGGTTCCACTGTTCAGCAGTTCTGACAAATTGGCTGACTTCTTATTTGATTTTGGCTTACCCAATACCTTGGGTTCCCTTCACATTTCATGTTGTTGTTTTTTTTTTTCTATGTATTTATTTGTTGTTCGGTTTTTTAATCTGACGGATATTCGGTGTGCTTCCAAGAAGAATAAATGCATTTCTTTATTTTTAGCATTTCCCCAAGCATATATATGTTTTTTCAGTTGAAAGTCACATGACATACAAACTACAAGAACCTTACATTTCTAAAGGGGGTTTATGGTCTATACACACATGCATCATTATGCTGGCACAGGCACTGATAATA